CAAGGACAGGTGGACAAAAGGGGGTTGCTGAGACTGGAACCTGCATATCAGAGACCAATATGCAATTCCACCTGATATCTCTCTCACCGACTGGGAAATAAAAGTTTAAATTCACCAAAACCAGAAGTGGCAGGGGGCCTTTAGTATTATGCAGAAAGCTTATGAAAAATGCATATTCCTAAGCTCTACCCCAGACTTATGGAATCAGAGTCTCTTGGGCTAGGACCCAGGATCTATACTCTCAGTGAGCCTGGCATGCATTAAAGTCTGTGATAACCACTTCCTGCAAAGCCAGAGTTGTCAACAAGGAAAGGCAATAATTGAGCTTTACAGTCCTCAAAACACTTTCATGAAACTGGTTTCCTGACCCTCCAACAAGCCTGGGAGGCAGGGGTCATAATCCCTTCCCCCAACTTTACAGAGGTAGAAGTAAACTCAGAGTGGTTCAGAGATGTCCCCAAAGTCATAGAGCTAACAGGTAGAAAATACCAGACTGGAATGAACAAAGGTCTACTCATCACAGATTTCATGTTCTTCCCACTTCACGAAAAAGAGGCATACTGCCTGCTGCTCCAGCCTCAACTCTGTAGGGACTACCCGTAGAGTGCCCAGTCACTGGCGATCATGCTGGTGTGGGCACTGTCCCTCTGCCTCCCCAGCCAGTCCCTCCAGAGCCCAGGGTGAGGTGCCTTTCCCTGCCGTGGGGCCGAGACATTCATCCTCATGGGTGTGGAGCATGGACCACCCCCTCACCTGTCCTCTGCCATCTGCCTCCCTCATTGGGCCCTCATCTTAATTTTATTCATTTGATTTATTAACATCTAAGTGGCAGAGTCATCCTGGTCAGCACGGCCAATCAATTCCAGGGTTTAATTCGGTTTTTCCTCATTGGGTCTCTGGTCACTGTCTTTCTATTCACCAAAATCAATACTTTAACCTTGTGCTTCAAAGTCAAGCTGTCTGCAGGGCCCTGGTCTGTTTCCCCAGGACCTAATGCCAAAGCCAGCTCTTCGCCTTAGCCCTTGGCTGCCCTTCCCCTGGCAGTCTCCCTCCCCCAACCAGATGGAAAACAGCAGGGCCCCCTCACCCATCCTCCTTGGGGCAGGCTACTGGCTACCCTGCACATCTGAGCTGTTGCATTGTTGCCAGTTCTGGAAGACCAGAAAAGATATCACAGCATTGGAGAACAACCCATCTGAACCAGTCACTCATTGCACCCCACCTGGCTGCAGATGGACACTGAGCCCCTCTGGGCCTCTATGTCCTCTTCTGTAAAATGGCTGGGAAGTGTGAACACAAGGAGGAACATACATTGTCAACCATCAGACTGTATCATTTAGTTGCCTGTCACTCAACCTCCTACACCTTGACCTCCCACCATACTGAGTCAGACAGAATCTGTATTGCTTTGTCCTATCTTTGAGCATCTGTGCCGTCTCCCCAGCTGGAATGCAGGCCTTTGGTGGACAGCTTTTGTATTTCCTGCCTCTGCTTTGGCCCAACAATGCCAAACCCAGGTGAAGCCCCAGGAAATGCCTGGCCATCTGAGACATATCTTACCTCTCCCAGTGGCTGCACACATTGGGGTCCTCAGGGTTCAGGGAGAGGGTGGTTTGCAGGAGAGAGAAGACAATGAGCCCGGTCACTGAGAGCGCCATCCTAGGCCCTGTGCAGAAGAACAAAGGAGGCAGCATCATTAATCAGCCCATTTTCCCAGGCATCTGTCCGGTGTTGAGACCTCATATGAAGGGGCAAAGCAGACTCGCTAAGCAGATGAAGTTTCCCATCATCATCATGTAATGAGCATTTGATATTTTATACTTGCAGGATCTGCCTAACACGGTAACACTTCATTGGTTCTGAGTAACAGGAGAGTAGGAAGCCTGAGTGAGGGAAAAGTGGAAATTTCAGGCCAGGGCTTCTCAAAGATTTTTGGCTCTCAAAGTGCTTTGAGAATCTAATGAAAGTTAAAGACCTCCCCAGAAAAATGCCCACAATACAACATGTGGCTATGATTTCAGGGTGTCCTCAAGGGTTCCTGAGCCCATTCTTGGACCAAGAACCCCTGATTTAACTACTTTAAAGGAAGCCCCTTCCCTCTGTTCCCTTCTCCATCATCTTTGATGTACTTTGCCCATTCACATCCTCTCCTTGCTCCCTCTGGCCACAAAGAAAGAGAAGAAAAGTGTCTGGCGTGGCCCTCAGAGTAGCTAAGCTGAGAAAATCCTTCAAGCAGCTCTGATCAAGCAAGCCACCCAGAAGGCTACATCTTGCTTCTCTTGCTGTTATGGGATATTTAGTCACTGAGAGCCAGACTGATGCAAGTCAATGCATGTCATTCCCACCATGGGATGAAGGGCTTGGGCAGCTTGGTAGGGAGCTTCAAGGAAGTGCTTGTAGAGTTTGATCTAAGACCCTGAAGTGACAGCCTGTGACAGGCATTAAGTGTGCCTACACAGAATGCCAACACCCTTGGTCCCCTACACTGAGGATTCCCTAACAAAGGGCTCCTCGTAGAGGCAGAGAACCATTCAGATCAGAATGACTGAAATGACCCCCGTGGCTCTTTCCTGTACTAGCACCCCAGGACTTCATGGTCCTATAGCCTTAGAGAACTGCCCAAGGGCTCCCACCTGGAGGGGGTGCAGAGGGCCCCAGAGCCACCTCCAGGGGATCTAGAATTCCTATATGCTCAAACATTGGCTGTAGGCTGAATGGACATTATAAACCAGAAAGATGGCACTATTTTTCATGTGTACATAGATGCTATTGTGGTTTGATTAAAAGCTTTACTGAATTCAGAGTAGCTTTTCTTCTCAATCAACCACACTGAAAAAATGCAACTTCCATTAACTGGGGGCAGGGATGGTATTAAAAATATTTTGACATGGAGGTCCCTGGGCTTGAAATGGTTGGGGATTTCTAGTCCGTTGGCCCTGAGTTTACAGATGAGAAAGCATTTACCCTTCTTGGAGACAGAGAAGAGTGGCATGGATGTTGCACACGTCCCCATTTGTACCCAGAGGGAAGCTAAATGGAGCTCCTGTCTTTCTAAAAAGTTAAACGCTCTCCTCTCCATCCCCAATAATTTCCCTGTTAAACTCTTTCTCAGCAGTGCCTTCAAAGATAAACAAATTGTCACCAATTCTGTATAACTGTAGGGGTCCAAATTAATGATTAATGAGGTTTTTCTCTCTCTTCAAGATCTGGAAATAATCTGACTAAATGTGCTCTGAAAATCAGTTAAGAAAGAGAAAAGCAACTTGGTGTTTCTGCTCAATTTGCAGAGTTTAGGAGTACAAAAGCCACAGCCACTCCTATTTCCCCCATCAGCTCACCCCGCTCCACCCCCAGTCCTCAGAAATCTAATCCCACCTCGACAGAGTGATCTTCACAAATGGAGTTCCTACAGCACTCAGGTCATTTTAACCTATTCTCCTCAAAGAGGAGGTGATACTTCCAGGACAAGAAGGAGCCTACCCGGGACATGGCATTGAGTCTTGGCGATGAGCATCTTCTTCCAGGTGGAGTTCAGGCTGATTAGGCATCAAGTAAATCAAATAAAGAAATAAACAAAGGGACAGGCACTCTGAAAGGCATGGAGTCTGAATGCCAACTGCGGAGATTGCCTCATTTTGGTTGTCTCTATGGTCCCGTTTCATTACTCTGACTACTCCAGTAATCTCCAGCATTCTCCCAAAAGGACTCCTCAACTGAATCTTCAAATTTATGAAAATGCAGTTGTAAAATGCATCTTTGATGTTTAGAACATCAAAGGATGAGGCCACCTAGACAAGAGGAAAATGTACCTCTGGACCCCTTTGATTCATGGTGACAGGAGAGGAGTAGGAGATGGAGGTAACCAAAGATGGATCATTGTTATAATTGGGGCAATCTCTTTAAATCTTAGTGAAAATCTCTTTCTCTCAGAGTTAGGTCTGGACAGGACAGTTCAGCTGACACCCACTGGCAGTGAGTTACCTGGATACTGGGGCACAGAGAGCATGACGGGTGTTTGGATAAACACACATAGAGTGGAGATGCATAGGGAAACACAGGATACAGCCATCTAGGCGACATTTAGACCAATGGTCTAAATGCATTAAGGCTTGCAGGGCAGGGGGGCTCCCCATAACTCACACCCTAGCCTTGACCAGCCCCATTCCCAGCATTCACAAAGTTCCCTACCCGACGCCAAGCCCATCTCCATAGTTGCATGCAGCGGGTAGAAGGACATCAGCCTGAGGGTAGAAGAGATGACTCCTCTCAGACACCACCCTCAGTCCTTAGACTTTTTCTCTGAACCTGGCCCAATCTATAACCTTATCACCCAGTCCTCCATCCTGGCTCAGCTGATCTTCTCTCCACCCCCACCCCCATCCCGGCCTTGCTCACACTGCTCCCTGGGCCTCAACTCTCAATCCTCTTCTTCCTCAACTCTGCATATCCAAATACCATCCACAGGAGAACCAGCTCAGGCCCCCGGTCCCCTCTTCCCTCTGCAGGGCTTGGCACCAGGCACACTACACTCCTTACAGTCTGGCTACACAATCCCACACTGATCACTCCCCATATTGCACTGACCTCTTTCCACATATTTACTTCATCTTTCCAGTACATCTGCAAGCACCCTGAAGGTGGGGTCAGGTCCTAAGCTGAACCAGTCAGTTCCTTTTGGGAACTGATTTTAGAAAAAGTGCTCCTACTTAGACGTGTCACTGAGGTGAAGTGAAGAGTAGACAAAAAGAAGCTGTCTACACGTGGGGGCAACTCGTGGCTATTAACGTTAATGGGGCTTCCCTGGGCTCTCTCAGAGGATGGATCCCAAAGACATATGCTTATGTGATGACTGAGGGAAAATCAATCCTGCCACAGTGGTTATTAGGCCAACTCCATTTGGAGTGACAGAGGTTAACGTATCGGGCACCATCTGATTTAGGGCATTAATAATTAAATAAGAAAATGCCCCTGGTTTCACTTCCGAGGAAGAGAACGTGTAAATAGATCAGCAGGTTCCCTTTCCTCTTGGCCATGCTTCCTGCATATTAAGAAGCAGAGGAAGGCAGCGGAGTTCCAGAGGTGGAGAAATTTCTTTTCCCATTGCGGGGTATGTGTGCTTTATACCAAATGAACTAGGCATTGGGGTTGAAGGGGAGAGAAGGCAGCCAGGAGGTGAGTCACTCACACCTGCCCACAGGTGTAGTCAGTGTGCACACTTGCTATGGCCTGAACTGACCAACTGAGCACTCCTGAAGCACCACCTGCCTAGCCTGGGCTGGGCTGTGGAGGACACAGAGAAATTACACACGTCAGCTGCAGTCTATTTGAGGAGACTAAGGCAGCTAGTGGTTAAGTCCCACTGTGGGGCCTGTGGAAGACTTTGTGGAATGAAGGGAACTTAAGAGGGACAGAATAGAGAAAGGTAGAGGACAAAGAAAGGGCATTTCTGGGGCAGGTACAGCATAAGCAAGGACATGGAGGCCAAAATGTGCAGGTGGTATTAGAGGACTGGGCAGTAGAGGGCTTGTACTGTGGAGCAGCGGTGGGAAATGTGGGAAACTGTGGGAGGTGTTTCCAAAATTGGGTCCTACGGAACACTAGTCCCATGAGATGTTGATAGGAAATCTCCCAAACAAAGGTTTCCATGAGTGAATAAGTTCAGGAAATGCTGCATGCTATGTCCTCAATGTCCTACGGAACACTAGTCCCATGAGATGTTGATAGAAATCTCCCAAACAAAGGTTCCCATGAGTGAATAAATTCAGGAAATGCTGCATGCTATGTCCTCAACTTAAATACCCACTGTATATCTTAGCATACTTTAGGCTCTGAAAAGACCTGAAGTAGAGACCTCTTTACTTTGTTTCACCCAGTGTTTCCCACAGAACTCTTTCTAGTGACCACTCCAGGAGCAGACGTCCTCAGGATACCCATTTTGAAAACTCTGCTCCTCTCCCTCAAGGTCAAGTCTGAAGGAGGGCTGGTCCTGTCAATCTGCTTCCTTAGAGTTTGTATTCACTTTATTCTAACACACTTGAGGGCTTTCTGTGCCTGGCAAGTAGTGTTAAAGAGAATCTGCCACTGGGTAGTTAAGAGACACTGACATCATAGCAAAGGATCCCTCCTCCCTGCCTGGACCTTGGCTCTGGCCTGGGCTGGTGCTGCAGGCTGAGATCTTAGAGATGGTGACATCCTCTGGAGGCCCTTGCCTTCTGCTGGGGCCCTGCCATCAGCAGCACCTGTAGAGTTCAGAACACACATGGGAAGACACCGGCTGCTTATATTAGCCAAGACGCATAAAACTAGGGTAGAGGGCAGACAGACAAACAGATGGCCTCTGCCCTGGGATGCATTGTTATGACCTCACGGTCCATCTGTGCAAAAATCCTCCCCCACCTGCTTTGTTTCCACCACCTGCCTAGTCCTCCTGACTGTGCCAAAATCTTTAAACTGGAGCCTGGTCCACATACCTGGAACCTGCTTTCTGTCTATCCCAATCTCTTCCAGGGAGCCCTTCCTTCTCAACAAATTTGTATTAGTGGCAGGGATGGCAGTGGTCAGGCACTATTTTGGGGGCCCTGGGAGATTTCTACTCATATATCACTGGGAACCAATCAATAATGGTTGCTTGGAATGCTATGCTGAGAAACTGGGGCTCAGTGGGAG